AGTGTGCAGAATAAAAGCAGGAAACTAGTGTGCAGAATAAAAGCAGGAAACTAGTGTGCAGAATAAAAGCAGGAAACTAGTGTGCAGAATAAAAGCAGGAAACTAGTGTGCAGAATAAAAGCAGGAAACTAGTGTGCAGAATAAAAGCAGGAAACTAGTGTGCAGAATAAAAGCAGGAAACTAGTGTGCAGAATAAAAGCAGGAAACTAGTGTGCAGAATAAAAGCAGGAAACTAGTGTGCAGAATAAAAGCAGGAAACTAGTGTGCAGAATAAAAGCAGGAAACTAGTGTGCAGAATAAAAGCAGGAAACTAGTGTGCAGAATAAAAGCAGGAAACTAGTGTGCAGAATAAAAGCAGGAAACTAGTGTGCAGAATAAAAGCAGGAAACTAGTGTGCAGAATAAAAGCAGGAAACTAGTGTGCAGAATAAAAGCAGGAAACTAGTGTGCAGAATAAAAGCAGGAAACTAGTGTGCAGAATAAAAGCAGGAAACTAGTGTGCAGAATAAAAGCAGGAAACTAGTGTGCAGAATAAAAGCAGGAAACTAGTGTGCAGAATAAAAGCAGGAAACTAGTGTGCAGAATAAAAGCAGGAAACTAGTGTGCAGAATAAAAGCAGGAAACTAGTGTGCAGAATAAAAGCAGGAAACTAGTGTGCAGAATAAAAGCAGGAAACTAGTGTGCAGAATAAAAGCAGGAAACTAGTGTGCAGAATAAAAGCAGGAAACTAGTGTGCAGAATAAAAGCAGGAAACTAGTGTGCAGAATAAAAGCAGGAAACTAGTGTGCAGAATAAAAGCAGGAAACTAGTGTGCAGAATAAAAGCAGGAAACTAGTGTGCAGAATAAAAGCAGGAAACTAGTGTGCAGAATAAAAGCAGGAAACTAGTGTGCAGAATAAAAGCAGGAAACTAGTGTGCAGAATAAAAGCAGGAAACTAGTGTGCAGAATAAAAGCAGGAAACTAGTGTGCAGAATAAAAGCAGGAAACTAGTGTGCAGAATAAAAGCAGGAAACTAGTGTGCAGAATAAAAGCAGGAAACTAGTGTGCAGAATAAAAGCAGGAAACTAGTGTGCAGAATAAAAGCAGGAAACTAGTGTGCAGAATAAAAGCAGGAAACTAGTGTGCAGAATAAAAGCAGGAAACTAGTGTGCAGAATAAAAGCAGGAAACTAGTGTGCAGAATAAAAGCAGGAAACTAGTGTGCAGAATAAAAGCAGGAAACTAGTGTGCAGAATAAAAGCAGGAAACTAGTGTGCAGAATAAAAGCAGGAAACTAGTGTGCAGAATAAAAGCAGGAAACTAGTGTGCAGAATAAAAGCAGGAAACTAGTGTGCAGAATAAAAGCAGGAAACTAGTGTGCAGAATAAAAGCAGGAAACTAGTGTGCAGAATAAAAGCAGGAAACTAGTGTGCAGAATAAAAGCAGGAAACTAGTGTGCAGAATAAAAGCAGGAAACTAGTGTGCAGAATAAAAGCAGGAAACTAGTGTGCAGAATAAAAGCAGGAAACTAGTGTGCAGAATAAAAGCAGGAAACTAGTGTGCAGAATAAAAGCAGGAAACTAGTGTGCAGAATAAAAGCAGGAAACTAGTGTGCAGAATAAAAGCAGGAAACTAGTGTGCAGAATAAAAGCAGGAAACTAGTGTGCAGAATAAAAGCAGGAAACTAGTGTGCAGAATAAAAGCAGGAAACTAGTGTGCAGAATAAAAGCAGGAAACTAGTGTGCAGAATAAAAGCAGGAAACTAGTGTGCAGAATAAAAGCAGGAAACTAGTGTGCAGAATAAAAGCAGGAAACTAGTGTGCAGAATAAAAGCAGGAAACTAGTGTGCAGAATAAAAGCAGGAAACTAGTGTGCAGAATAAAAGCAGGAAACTAGTGTGCAGAATAAAAGCAGGAAACTAGTGTGCAGAATAAAAGCAGGAAACTAGTGTGCAGAATAAAAGCAGGAAACTAGTGTGCAGAATAAAAGCAGGAAACTAGTGTGCAGAATAAAAGCAGGAAACTAGTGTGCAGAATAAAAGCAGGAAACTAGTGTGCAGAATAAAAGCAGGAAACTAGTGTGCAGAATAAAAGCAGGAAACTAGTGTGCAGAATAAAAGCAGGAAACTAGTGTGCAGAATAAAAGCAGGAAACTAGTGTGCAGAATAAAAGCAGGAAACTAGTGTGCAGAATAAAAGCAGGAAACTAGTGTGCAGAATAAAAGCAGGAAACTAGTGTGCAGAATAAAAGCAGGAAACTAGTGTGCAGAATAAAAGCAGGAAACTAGTGTGCAGAATAAAAGCAGGAAACTAGTGTGCAGAATAAAAGCAGGAAACTAGTGTGCAGAATAAAAGCAGGAAACTAGTGTGCAGAATAAAAGCAGGAAACTAGTGTGCAGAATAAAAGCAGGAAACTAGTGTGCAGAATAAAAGCAGGAAACTAGTGTGCAGAATAAAAGCAGGAAACTAGTGTGCAGAATAAAAGCAGGAAACTAGTGTGCAGAATAAAAGCAGGAAACTAGTGTGCAGAATAAAAGCAGGAAACTAGTGTGCAGAATAAAAGCAGGAAACTAGTGTGCAGAATAAAAGCAGGAAACTAGTGTGCAGAATAAAAGCAGGAAACTAGTGTGCAGAATAAAAGCAGGAAACTAGTGTGCAGAATAAAAGCAGGAAACTAGTGTGCAGAATAAAAGCAGGAAACTAGTGTGCAGAATAAAAGCAGGAAACTAGTGTGCAGAATAAAAGCAGGAAACTAGTGTGCAGAATAAAAGCAGGAAACTAGTGTGCAGAATAAAAGCAGGAAACTAGTGTGCAGAATAAAAGCAGGAAACTAGTGTGCAGAATAAAAGCAGGAAACTAGTGTGCAGAATAAAAGCAGGAAACTAGTGTGCAGAATAAAAGCAGGAAACTAGTGTGCAGAATAAAAGCAGGAAACTAGTGTGCAGAATAAAAGCAGGAAACTAGTGTGCAGAATAAAAGCAGGAAACTAGTGTGCAGAATAAAAGCAGGAAACTAGTGTGCAGAATAAAAGCAGGAAACTAGTGTGCAGAATAAAAGCAGGAAACTAGTGTGCAGAATAAAAGCAGGAAACTAGTGTGCAGAATAAAAGCAGGAAACTAGTGTGCAGAATAAAAGCAGGAAACTAGTGTGCAGAATAAAAGCAGGAAACTAGTGTGCAGAATAAAAGCAGGAAACTAGTGTGCAGAATAAAAGCAGGAAACTAGTGTGCAGAATAAAAGCAGGAAACTAGTGTGCAGAATAAAAGCAGGAAACTAGTGTGCAGAATAAAAGCAGGAAACTAGTGTGCAGAATAAAAGCAGGAAACTAGTGTGCAGAATAAAAGCAGGAAACTAGTGTGCAGAATAAAAGCAGGAAACTAGTGTGCAGAATAAAAGCAGGAAACTAGTGTGCAGAATAAAAGCAGGAAACTAGTGTGCAGAATAAAAGCAGGAAACTAGTGTGCAGAATAAAAGCAGGAAACTAGTGTGCAGAATAAAAGCAGGAAACTAGTGTGCAGAATAAAAGCAGGAAACTAGTGTGCAGAATAAAAGCAGGAAACTAGTGTGCAGAATAAAAGCAGGAAACTAGTGTGCAGAATAAAAGCAGGAAACTAGTGTGCAGAATAAAAGCAGGAAACTAGTGTGCAGAATAAAAGCAGGAAACTAGTGTGCAGAATAAAAGCAGGAAACTAGTGTGCAGAATAAAAGCAGGAAACTAGTGTGCAGAATAAAAGCAGGAAACTAGTGTGCAGAATAAAAGCAGGAAACTAGTGTGCAGAATAAAAGCAGGAAACTAGTGTGCAGAATAAAAGCAGGAAACTAGTGTGCAGAATAAAAGCAGGAAACTAGTGTGCAGAATAAAAGCAGGAAACTAGTGTGCAGAATAAAAGCAGGAAACTAGTGTGCAGAATAAAAGCAGGAAACTAGTGTGCAGAATAAAAGCAGGAAACTAGTGTGCAGAATAAAAGCAGGAAACTAGTGTGCAGAATAAAAGCAGGAAACTAGTGTGCAGAATAAAAGCAGGAAACTAGTGTGCAGAATAAAAGCAGGAAACTAGTGTGCAGAATAAAAGCAGGAAACTAGTGTGCAGAATAAAAGCAGGAAACTAGTGTGCAGAATAAAAGCAGGAAACTAGTGTGCAGAATAAAAGCAGGAAACTAGTGTGCAGAATAAAAGCAGGAAACTAGTGTGCAGAATAAAAGCAGGAAACTAGTGTGCAGAATAAAAGCAGGAAACTAGTGTGCAGAATAAAAGCAGGAAACTAGTGTGCAGAATAAAAGCAGGAAACTAGTGTGCAGAATAAAAGCAGGAAACTAGTGTGCAGAATAAAAGCAGGAAACTAGTGTGCAGAATAAAAGCAGGAAACTAGTGTGCAGAATAAAAGCAGGAAACTAGTGTGCAGAATAAAAGCAGGAAACTAGTGTGCAGAATAAAAGCAGGAAACTAGTGTGCAGAATAAAAGCAGGAAACTAGTGTGCAGAATAAAAGCAGGAAACTAGTGTGCAGAATAAAAGCAGGAAACTAGTGTGCAGAATAAAAGCAGGAAACTAGTGTGCAGAATAAAAGCAGGAAACTAGTGTGCAGAATAAAAGCAGGAAACTAGTGTGCAGAATAAAAGCAGGAAACTAGTGTGCAGAATAAAAGCAGGAAACTAGTGTGCAGAATAAAAGCAGGAAACTAGTGTGCAGAATAAAAGCAGGAAACTAGTGTGCAGAATAAAAGCAGGAAACTAGTGTGCAGAATAAAAGCAGGAAACTAGTGTGCAGAATAAAAGCAGGAAACTAGTGTGCAGAATAAAAGCAGGAAACTAGTGTGCAGAATAAAAGCAGGAAACTAGTGTGCAGAATAAAAGCAGGAAACTAGTGTGCAGAATAAAAGCAGGAAACTAGTGTGCAGAATAAAAGCAGGAAACTAGTGTGCAGAATAAAAGCAGGAAACTAGTGTGCAGAATAAAAGCAGGAAACTAGTGTGCAGAATAAAAGCAGGAAACTAGTGTGCAGAATAAAAGCAGGAAAATGAGCATACGTTGGTTGGGAAAGGTGTCGACGAGCCTCTCGATATCTTGAATTGATAAGCCATCTTTAATGTACATTCGGTACACTATATTCACTATATCCTCCCTTGTGGGTTGCCTGTAACAGACCCGGACAGAGGTGGGGCGGGGGAGAGAAAGAGCGGATGGATGAGGGGCGAAGCAAGGAAGGAAGAAGGAGGATAGAGGCACGGGGGACACACCGCGCCACATCCGAGGCACAGGGGAGAAAAGGAGAGTCTAGTTAATCATTAAGAGCAGTTAGCGCTAAGGTGTTGCTTTCCTACATGTACCAGGCACTGTCGCATACCGTACCACACCGTGCCACATCCAGCCTGACCACTAGGAATTCTCCATGCGTCCATCACAGATAAAGCGGAGCCCAGAGCACTGTAGAAGAGGGATGCCACACCAAACTGTACCATACCAGTAGACGACTTTTGAGACGTCTCAAAAGCATGTAGAAGAGGGATGCCACACCAAACTGTACCATACCAGTAGACGACTTTTGAGACGTCTCAGAAGTATGTACAAGAGGGATGCCACACTGTACCGTACCATGTCTCAGCTCACACCCTAGCTCACCAATAAAACTTCTCCATGCGCCCATCACGGATCAGCGGCGCCCATAGAGTGCTGAAGTCGTTTCCAGTCACGATGATCGGCACGCGGTTCAGCAGGTCGCCCTCGCGCCAGTCCTGCCCCACGCTGGCCCGCGTGGGGTCGTCACAGAGGCTCATGAGCGTTCCCACCACCATCTGATTGTTCACTGTGGTTTGGGTGTGCGCTGTGGGGTGCAGGAGCGAAGGGTGCAGGAGCGAAGGGGTGCAGGGGCGAAGGGGTGCAGGGGCGGGGAGAGCACAGGGAGGGGGGTTGGTGTGGATAGGGCTTGCATTGGATTCAGCAGGTCGCCCTCGCGCCAGTCCTGCCCCACGCTGGCCCGCGTGGGGTCGTCACAGAGGCTCATCAGCGTTCCCACCACCATCTGATTGTTCACCATTGTCTGCGTGTGCGCTGAATATAGGGAAAAGGAGGAAACGAGAGAGGCCATGGGTTCAGCAGGTCGCCCTCGCGCCAGTCCTGCCCCACGCTCCAAGCGTGGGGTCGTCACACAGACTCCTGAGCGTTCCCGAATTTTTAGTCGACTCAAAGATCGACTCATCACACGCTCCAAGCGTGGGGTCGTCACAGAGACTCATGAGGGTGCGCCAGTCCTGCCCCACTTTGGCCCGCGTGGGGTCGTCCACCACCATCACAGAGGCTGATGAGCGTGCCCACCACCATCTGATTGTTCACCGTGGTCTGCGTGTGCGCTGGTTGTGGGGTATACCATATCGCTGTGGGAGCACAAGGACAGGGAGAGGATTTCTTAGGCGACTCAAAAACCGTCTCAAAAACCGTCTCAAAAACCGTCTCAAAAACCGTCTCAAAAATCGTCTCAGCTTTTTAGGCGCCTCAAAAAACGTGCGCTGGATGTGGGGTACACCATATCGTTGTGGGAGCACCACGAAAGGGAGCGGGTAGAGGTGGGGGTGGGAGGAAGAGGGGTGGTGTGGGTAATAAGTTACTGGGGGTATGAAGCATCAGCTTCGAATGCATGGTGTACCATGTGCCATGGAATGAGAGCAAATGGCTCACCGAGTGTAGTGAGTCTATTTTTGAGTCGATTCACAAATAGCATCAGTTTTGAATGCATGGTGCACCATGTGCCATGGAATGAGAGCAAGTGGCTCACCGAATCGGCCAATCCCGGCATCGAGGTCGTTGATCATCAGAGCGCTCATTTTGCCCTGCACATCCATAAAAATAAATAATATAAAAAGTATATTTAAAAACAGAACGCCCTTAGAAAGGAAAGCAAACACACACACACACACACACACACACACTGCACGCACGCACTCACTCACACACACACACACACACACACACACACACACGCACACAGAAAACAATCAAATAATAAATAAAACATCATAGCAAGGAAACAAGCCACCCCTGGACGGCAACTTAGCTTCCATGAATCCATCTAGCGGATGTGTCTTTAGCTGACTCAAGATCTGGGTCCATAAATCCATTAAATAATATATATGTATATAAATATATATATATCTCTAAAAACCTTATTGTTGATGACGAGATGTGCGTCGCGGTAGCGGCTGCGAATGAGCCTCCCCGGTTCACCCGCCCACTCGCTCTCCATCTCTCCTGCCGAGAGAATGATCGGCTCTAGCCCCAACGCCTTGAATATCAGCTCCACTTGAAACGTCTTCCCCTGCCCCTTGCCGCCCCATATGCCTGCCAGAAAAGGTGAAGGGGGGCAAGCGAACAAAACAGACAGAATGAGCCTCCCAGGCTCGCCAGTCCACTCACTCTCTTCCACCTCCCCATCCGACAGGATGATTGGCTCCATCCCCATGGCCTTGATTATCAACTCCACTTGAAACGTCTTCCCCTGCCCCTTGCCGCCCAATATGCCTGCAAATTCAGGTCAGGGACCCAAGAGAACAGCACAGAATGATTGGTTCCAATCCAACCCCAGCGCCTTGAATATCAAATCCACTTGAAAAAAAAAATCCCCTACTTCACTCACCCTAAACCCAAAAAAACGAAACAAGATAATGGGCACCATTCCTCCAACCCCAGTTGGCAGCACGTTACAAACGTTATTTCAGGATTGAGGAGCCTTTTATTTTCTTACCAGGATAGTTGGGACGTACCGAGGATGAGTGGAATCCTGCAGCTGAGCTGAGACGCGAGGTAGTTCTTTGCAATGAATGTGACTGTAACGGGAAGAATGGGGGAGGGGGGGGAAGGCGTGGGAGGTAGGGAGGCACAAAACAAGAGGCGGAGGCAGGCAGGAGTCTGAGTCTGGGTCTGAGTCTGAGTCTGGGTCTGAGTCTGAGTCTGAGTCTGAGTCTGAGTCTGAGTCTGGGTCTGAGTCTGAGTCTGAGTCTGAGTCTGAGTCCGAGTCTGAGTCTGAGTCTGAGTCCGAGTCTGAGTCTGAGTCACTTTTGAAAAGTGCCACTTTTGAAAGAATCTCAACTGCGAGCCCTCAAGCTCTTTGCGACAGAAGCGCACAAGCTCTGTTGCAACTCAGACTTGATTGGTGAACTTTGACAGGAATACATGGATGGAAAGTGACTCACCGACTTTGTCCTTTTGTGGCAGAAGGATGAGATGTGATGTGGCACATGGTGAGGGGGGAGGGATGGGAATCAGAAGCGCAGAGTTGTTATTTGAAACTAGTTGATTCGCAAGTGAGTAAATAGGTCTCTGATAAGAGCACGCATTACAAGTACCCAGAGTGACAAGTCACTCGGCCAGCTAAGCAAATGGGTGCAAAGTCAGCCCTCGGGGAAATGACTTGTGAGTAAATAGGTCTCTGATATGAGCACGCCATACAAACATAGGGAAAAAGTACAGTTCAATGTGAAAAAAAGCAGTTGAGGCAAAGCAGCAACAGCAGCAACAGCAGCAGCAGCAGCAGCAGCAGCAGCAGCAGCAGCAGCAGCAGCAGCAGCAGCAGCAGCAGCAGCGGCAGCAGCAGCAGCAGCAGCAGCAGCGGCAGCAGCAGCAGCAGCAGCGGCGGCAGCGGCAGCAGCAGCAGCAGCAGCAGCAGCAGCAGCAGCAGCAGCAGCGTACGAGGAAGGTGGGGGCGATGTAGTAGTCTCCCTGGATGTGCTCGAAGGACCGTGTCACGCTCTGGCGATACTTGAACACTATGTCCGCTGGTGGGGGGAAGAAGGGGGGATGCGGGGGGAGAGGGTGGTTGGGAGGTGGGGGACGGGGGGGATGAAGGGGGGAGGTGGGGGGTTGAAGGTGGGGAACAGAGTGTGACTGACAGAGTCCCCTTGGATGTGTTCAAAGGACCGTGTCACGCTCTGGCGGTACTTGAACACTATGTCCGCTGGTGGGGGTGGGAAAGGGGAAGAGAGCGGAGGGGTTTCCTGAGAATCCTCAAAACGACCCGCATCAGCTCAAACGACCGCGTCACGCTCTGGCGGTACTTGAACAGTATGTCCGCTGGTGGGCGGGAAAGGGGGGTTGCGAAAGCGGGAGGAGGGAGGGGGGCAAAGTGGGGGAAAAGGGGAAGGGAAAGGTGATGGGTGGGGTGGGTTTAAGAGGATAGAACAATTATGTGGGCAAAGGTCAGATTGTGAAGAGTCTTAAAGAGAACTGGTGCCCTTACTGCCGTTCCCCACCTTCCTGACAAGAACTAATGTTCGACCTTCCCCTCCCCACCTTATTCCCTCTCACTCTCCCCCTCACACGTCACTGCGCTCAAAGCCACTTTCATCCCCCCGCTAACCTCCCCCACTTCTCTTCCCCTTCCCCCTCTCTTCCTCTTTCCCCCTCCCCGCGCGCACCTCACCCCTCTGCGCTCAACCCCAACTCCCTTCGCCCTCTTTCCGCTCACCGTCCTTGCCCAGGAAGTCCCCAACGAACACGCTGTCGATATTGCCGTGTTTCGCGCCCACCGTGATGCGCAAGTTGTCCGCCTCCGACCCCAACCGGTAAAGATAATCCTTCCCCTCGTAATCCTTCGCCTCCCACGACGACGCGTACCCGCCGCCGCCCCCGCTGGCGCCGTCGCGTGCGGCCGCTGCTGCAGCTGCGGCTGCGGCTGCGGCTGCTCCCGCCGAGGCGCCTGATCCGTGGCCCAGGCCGACCGCGTCGCCTCCGCCGCTCGCGGTCACGCGGACGATAGGTCTACTTTGGGATCTTTGGCGGAAAATCGACGGAGCGGCATACGGTCGACGCGCGGGTAAGAAGCTGCTCTTATTGGACCCGAGACTGCGGTTGTTGGAGATGATGTTGCGATGTGGACATGAGGGGTCGGCGGCTGGCCGGAGGACACATTGCTTTTGATGTGCCTGGAAGGCAGTTACTCGGAGGGTGCATTGTTGCAGCGAAGCTGCTGGACAGGACGCCATGGAATAATAATGCTAGCGCCCAATTTCCAGGCGCAGTTCTCAGGACTTATTGGGAGAAATGGTGCAGCTACGGGAAACGGAGTGATAAGGTGGAGGGCGTTATTTATGGAGGTGGTGAGGAAGAGGAATGTGAAGCCTGAACGATGTGTCTCAGGCTGTACGCGTTTGAGGTCCATATCCATTCTTAATTGTGATGCACTTCTATGCATTGCTCGGTGGTTCGGATAATTTCCGTCTAAGAAAACTTCTGAAGCAAGGGCGAATTTTGTTCTCAACACTGAATTAATTGACCCCCTTACAAGAGTCAATTTGAACCAATCATCGTGCGCGATCGCATCCACCCTGTCCCCTTGAACTTGTCCCGCTTCGCGTTGCAGTCACGCTAGGCTTTCCCGCGCGTTTTGCGCCCTCGACATTTTCCTCGAATGAGTGGCTGTTTCTAGGTGGCTGGGAAGGGGCCCTCCGTTTCACCAAACCTCGAGCCGTGCCTGGGAGATTTCCCTTAGAACTCTCACATTTCAGGGAGTGTCGCTTGTTTACAGAGGTTAAGTGCGCGGTTTAAAGTGGTGAATCAGAACATTCGTTCACAATCGCAATCAACCGTTCTTCGCCGCTTAGTTTGGATGGAAAGCGAATAATGGAAGTCGTCAACGGCACCGCTTCCTTTTAGAGTGTCGTTCCGCCGGTGGTTTTCAAGTGTACCACTTATTCCTCTGACATGGCTGCTCCCATTTACGCCCTTTCTCCGTAACTGCGTTTCTGGATTAAAACCGGGGTCACAAGTTTGCCAAGTTTGGTTCAACCTTCCTACCCTTGGTTTGGTGTAACCCTGTTGACAGCGTTGTGCCCTGAAAGTTCACGCTTGCGTATACTCGAACACTCGCCCCCCAAAATTACTGTAGCGTCTGTATCGCCTGCACCCAAACAGAGCCGAAACGTGTCGCACAGGGGACTGTGGTAGGAAGCCTGAAACCACCGGGGTAGAAACTTGAGACTTGGATAATCAAGTCACCAACGCACTGCTTGATAATAGCCTAGTCTGCTTAGAAGGCCACAACTGAGAAAATTCCAGGCAATGATAATGCACACAATAGGCATAGGGTCAAGGTAGTGGACGTTTTCTGTCAGGGTGCTCCGAAGTGGCGCGCACTACGTCCGTTGAGTGGATTAGGGAAAAGCCAACGAGGGCGGCGTAGAGCCTGCAAGGCGACAGCTTGGCAGCGAGGAAAAACGTCACGGACTCCTGAGTCCGCGCGGGAGCGAGGGCGACACCTTACGCAACACGCATGTGCGGTGGCTCGGCGATTTTATCATGGTATAGCGCAATGTTCGGACCGTGCAGAGACGAGGACTATGCAATGTCGTCTAGGGCTCTTACAGCACGTCAGGGATTCATGCGCTACGTCTATCGTGCAAAAGGGCAATCTCACACAGCCGAGCGGAATTCGTGCCTGAAGGAAAACCCTCCTCATGCTACTTCTTTCTCCCACACGCACGTCGCTAGCACTCCCGACTTCCCTCTCGCGAGCACTCCCATTCGTCACGCTAGCGATCACCCCCCCCCCCCGACGCGCGCACTCCCCTTCCCCGACGCGCGCACTCCCCTTCCGCGACGCGCGCCCTCCCCTTCCCCCTCTCGCGCACTCCCCTTCCCTGACGCGCGCACTCCCCTTCCCCGACGCGCGCACTCCCCTTCCCCGACGCGCGCACTCCCCTTCCGCGACAAGCGCACTCCCCTTCCCCCTCTCGCGCACTCCCCTTCCCTGACGCGCGCTCCCCCCTTCCCCGACGCGCGCACTCCCCTTCCCCGACGCAAGCACTCGCCTTCCCCGTCGGGAGCACTCCCCATCCCAGCCAAGATCACTCCCTTTCGTCACGCTAGCATTCCCATTCCCCGTCACGCTAGCATTCCCATTCCCCGTCACGCTAGCATTCCCATTCCCCGTCACGCTAGCATTCCCATTCCCCGTCACGCTAGCATTCCCATTCCCCGTCCCGCTAGCATTCCCATTCCCCGTCACGCTAGCATTCCCATTCCCCGTCACGCTAGCATTCCCATTCCCCGTCACGCTAGCATTCCCATTCCCCGTCCCGCTAGCATTCCCATTCCCCGTCACGCTAGCATTCCCATTCCCCGTCCCGCTAGCATTCCCATTCCCCGTCCCGCTAGCATTCCCATTCCCCGTCACGCTAGCATTCCCATTCCCCGTCACGCTAGCATTCCCATTCCCCGTCACGCTAGCATTCCCATTCCCCGTCCCGCTAGCATTCCCATTCCCCGTCCCGCTAGCATTCCCATTCCCCGTCACGCTAGCATTCCCATTCCCCGTCCCGCTAGCATTCCCATTCCCCGTCACGCTAGCATTCCCATTCCCCGTCACGCTAGCATTCCCATTCCCCGTCACGCTAGCATTCCCATTCCCCGTCCCGCTAGCATTCCCATTCCCCGTCACGCTAGCATTCCCATTCCCCGTCACGCTAGCATTCCCATTCCCCGTCACGCTAGCATTCCCATTCCCCGTCCCGCTAGCATTCCCATTCCCCGTCACGCTAGCATTCCCATTCCCCGTCACGCTAGCATTCCCATTCACCCACGATAGCCCTCCCCTTCGCCCTCCCTTGCACTCCCCTTCCCCCTCCCTAGCACTCCCCTTCCCCACCGCAATCCCTCCCCTTCCCCCACGCGAGTACTCCCCTTCCCCCTCGCTAGCAAGCCCTCCCCTTCCCCCACTCTCTATCCTCCCATCCACCCACGCTATCCCTCCCCTTCCACCTCCCTTGCACTCCCCTTCCCCCTCCCTAGCACTCCCCTTCCCCCCCGCAAGCCCACCCCTTCCCCCTCCCTAGCACTCCCCTTCCCCCTCCCTAGCACTCCCCTTCCCCCTCTCTAGCACTCGCCTTCCCCCTCTCTAGCAATCTCTTTCCCCCACGCTAGCCCTCCCCTTCCCCCTCCCTAGCATTCCCCTTCCCCCCCGCAAGCCCTCCCTTTCCCCCTCGCAAACCCTCCCATTCCTCCTCGCTTGCAAGCACTCCCCTTCCCCCTCGCAAACCCTCCCCTTCCCCCACGCTAGCACTCCCCTTCCCCCCCGCAAGCCCACCCCTTCCCCCTCCCTAGCACTCCCCTTCCCCCTCCCTAGCACTCCCCTTCCCCCTCTCTAGCACTCGCCTTCCCCCTCTCTAGCAATCTCTTTCCCCCACGCTAGCCCTCCCCTTCCCCCTCCCTAGCATTCCCCTTCCCCCCCGCAAGCCCTCCCTTTCCCCCTCGCAAACCCTCCCATTCCTCCTCGCTTGCAAGCACTCCCCTTCCCCCTCGCAAACCCTCCCCTTCCCCCACGCTAGCACTCCCCTTCCCCCTCCCAAGCATTCCCCTTCCTCCTCGCTAGCAAGCCCACCCCTTCCCCCACGCTATGTCTCCCCTTCCCCCTCCCAAGCACTCCCCTTCACCCTCCCTAGCACTCCCCTTCCCCCTCTCTAGCAATCCCCTTCCCCCTCTCTAGCAATCCCCTTCCCCCTCCCAAGCATTCCCCTTCCTCCTCGCTAGCAAGCCCACCCCTTCCCCCACGCTATGTCTCCCCTTCCCCCTCCCAAGCACTCCCCTTCCACCTCCCTAGCACTCCCCTTCCCCCTCTCTGGCATGGAGAGAAGAGAGGGAAGGGAGGGATGGGAGGGAAGGGAGGGACGGGATAGACGGGAGAGACGGGAGAGACAGGATATAGCAAGGAGGGATGAGAGGGAAGGGAGAAAAGGGAGTGAAGGTAAGGGAGGAGAGAAAGGCAGGACGGGAGAGAAGGGAGGGAAGGGAGGGAAGGGAGGGAAGGGAGGGAAGAGAGGGACGGGAGAGAAGGGAGGGAAAGGCCCGATGCTTGAGCAGGGGGAGAAGAGATGGAAGGGAGAGAGGGTGAGAAGGGAGAGAGGGGGGAAAGGGATAGAAGGGTGAGAAGGGAGGGATTGGAGGGTTGGGAGGGAGGGGAGCGAAGGGAGAAAAGGGAGGGAAGGGAGGGAAGGGAGGGAAGGGAGGGAAGGAGGGGAGGGATGGACGGGAGAGAAAGGAGGGAAGGGAGAGTTGGAAGATTGGAAGTCAGGATGAGACGGAAGGGAGAAAAGGGTGGTAGGGGGAGAGAGATGGGCGGGAAGGGAGTGAAGGTAGAAAATGGAGAGAAGGGAGGGAAGGGAGTGAAGGGAGGGAAGGGAGGGAAGGGAGGGAAGGGAGGGAAGGGAGTCACGGGAGAGAAGGAAGGGAAAGGAGAGATGGGAGAGCAGGGAGAGAAGGGAGGGAAGGGGAAAGAGGGAGTGAAGGGAGAGAGGGGCGAGGAGGGAGGGATTGGAGGGAAAGGAGGGAGGGAACGGAAGGGAGGGAAGGGAAGAAGGGAGGGAAGGGAGGGAAGGAGGGTTGTGGAGTTAGGGAGGGAAGGGAGAGACGGGTGAGAAGGGAGGGATTGATGGGATTGGATGGAAGGGAGGGAAGGAGGGAAGGGGGAGAAGGGGGAGAAGGGAATTACGGGAGGGTAGGGTAGTCGCACGACCCGGAAAAGGGATTAGGGAGGCGGGAAGGCATGTCTGGCGGTGGGAAAAGGGAATCGGGCGGCGGGATTGGCGAAGCGGGCGGCGGGAAAGCGAATTTGGCGTGTTGAAAGGGGAATCGGGCGGCGGGAAGGGGCGGTCGGGCGGCCCGCCCGGAATCAATGGGCGGGAAAGGGGATTCAGGCGGCGCGGAAGGTTTTATCGGGCGGAGCGGAAGGGGATTCGGGCGGCAATATAGGGGAACCGGGCGGCGGGAACGTGAATCGGGCGTCGCGAAGGGGAGTAGGGCGACGGTAGAGGGAACGCGGCCGGCGGGAAAGAAGAATCGGGAGGCACGAAGGGGAATCGCCGGGCGGCGAGACCAGGGAGTCGAGCGGCGGGAAGGGGAATCGCCGGGCAGCGTGACTGGGGATTCGTGGCGGCGGGAAAGGGAAAGAGGGTGGCGGGGAGGGGCATGGGGCGACGGGAATGGGGATTCGGGGGGAGTAAAAGGGGAGCTCTGGCCGCATATATGGGCTATGGCGAAACCTCCACTATTTCACATTCTCCCTTCCCACGCGATATGCTCCGCATTGTAGGCGCCGGATAAAAAACCCTCGCATGTGCTGCACATCTCCTTACACGCAATCTCATTCCGCCAGACAGCTAGTTATAAATCTCAACTTTTAGTAATGCGCGTTTTGAGTGCACACTGGCGCGCGGCACATCCCATTATCACGGCCCTTCGTTTCACGGCGCGTCCCATGCCCCATGAGCGCGACGGCTCGCTTTCCACCCTACTCACTCTCGTCTTCCGCGGAGAGCTCCGCGTATTCGGCGGGTTCGGCGGCGATGCCTGCACTCGAATCACTATCCTCTCGGCGCGTCATCACAAAGCCTAGATTTCTAACTTGGTTTTGATGGTTGCTACCAATGATTCCTGAGTATGTCATACTATTTCTAGCTCAATGACCTGCCAGGCTTAGTCAACTCACGACGTTCTACTTCTTGCTTGCAACACAGAGTCACTGGACTCGGCTGGCAATGGGAAAAGGTCGCAGAGTGTGTTTGGCGATGTTTCACGTTTGGCAATTGTGTCGCCTGGCAATTGTGGTAACAGCGTTGTCGCCCAAAAACGGGCGAACAGCGTTCAGCGGTTTCGGGAACCCAGCTACTCGCCATCCAATTGTAAGCTTCTTCCCAACCAACCTTCCTTCCTTTGAAACCTGTGGACCCTGGGTTTTAATCTCTTGACTGAAAGTCACAACACACAGTTGATTCAGCTGTACGTAACGTAGCTGATATATTCCGCATGTCGCTCGCAACAGACCCTGATTAATGACTGAGCTTAATGCGCTTGCTGGCGTAACGAGTTTCTTGCTGAGAATCTGAAACGCTGAAGCTAAAGCAGCCAGTGTTATTTCAAGTTAAGCAGTACTTCAGTCGTCGATCAGAGAGTTCAGACGAGGATAAGAAGAATGCGGAGGTGTTTATTTCAGATCTCGCTGTCGAAGTTATCTTATATCGTCGTGGCACGTGCTGATCACTTGTTGTTAGAAGCAGAACAGCAGTAACATCACCAGCAACACTGACAACGCTGACGCACCACCAATACCAACAGTAACATACAGTTGGTGCCTCCAGTTCCCGAATATCGAGATGAACTACAGAGGACTAGTAATCGCGGGCTTCTATGGTAAGTACCGAATACTCAAGCCGCGATACGAAAAGCTATAATATCTCCAGAACTATTCCATATCAATTGTTGTTACTTTCTGCTTTTTGTACCAACCACAGTGAATCTCAGTAGCGTTTTTATCTGACTGAAAAATACCCTCTCTTAATTTCATCACCACTAATCCCCTTACGTGCACCAGGCGGAATGTCGGTGGCGAGCGTGTTTATCAACAAGGCCATTTTCCACGTCTATCATTTCAACCATCCGTACACGCTGGTTCTGGGTCAAACATGCTTCACGCTCGTCCTCCTACTGCTCATGCGACGGTTCCGAGTCATCAGATTGGCACCATTTCAGTTCTACGTCTTCCAACGGGTAAGTAGTAATCCCAAACGGTATGTACTGGCTCTCAGTTGCCATTGTATGTCTTCCAACGGTTACGTACTCACGGTATGTAACGGCTTTCAGCTGCCATTCTTTATCGTTCAACGGGTAAGTAATGATCCCTAACGGGATGTACCGGCTCTTTCATACCCGCGCTTCTTGCTCTCAACTGAGTTATGCCAGATTGGCTTCATACTGCTTTCGACGGGTATAAAAACAGCATGTCCTGATACTAGCTCTCACATACGCGCGCTCTTTGTTCCCAACTGAGCCTCCCGTCATCCATTACTACTCAGTAAAGGATACAAGCCTGGTCTAGCTGATTGCTCGTTTTGCTCCCGCTTTGATCCAACATACGTGTCCATTTCTGTAATGCTCGAACACTCGGATCCCCAGCGTTCCTTCAGCACCCATTCCTCCAACTCTTCTTTTCTTTCCCACCCTTTCCCCCATTCTTCCCCTCCACTTTCCCTGATCCCTCTCCTCCCCCGTAACAGGTCTTCCTTCTGTCCTTCGCCTTCCTGCTGAAGCTCCTTCTAGACATGTCCGCCCTCTCTAGAGTCAACATCCCCATGTACGGGGTCCTCAAATCCTCGACCACTCCCTTCGTCCTCCTACTAGACTACTTCCTCCGCTCCAAAAAGGCTTCCGCGCGGATCCAGCTAGCCGTATACCTCACCACAGCAGGAGGGTTCATCGCAGGGCTAGGAGACCTTACCTTCGACCTGCCAGGCTACATCCTCGCGCTTTCATCCGCGTTAGCAACAGCCGCGTATGTAGTTATAGTGGGGAAGCTCGGGGAGGAGCTACAGCTGGACTCGTTCACGCTGTTGCTGTACAACAATTTTTGGTCGCTGCCATTCTCGATCCTGCTGGTGGTGTGGAATGGCGAGCTGGTGGCTGTGAGACAGGTGCTGCATCCGCAGAGCGCCATGTTCCTGTTCTACTTTGTACTCTCCTGCGCGTCTGCGTTCATTCTCAACCTCGCCACGTACCTCTGCACGCTTGTCAACGACTCGCTCACTACCAGCATTGTCGGTAAGGATGGCTTTTGGGTGCCTCAAAGGGCAAGAAGGATGGATTTTGGTTGACTCAAAGGTCAAGGTGGTTTTCATTCTCAACCTCGCCTCGTACCTCTGCACGCTCGTCAACGACTCGCTCTTTACCAGCATTGTCGGTGAGAATGGCTCGAGTGAGTGGACAAAGCACCACCTTATATGATCAGAACCTTGGATTATCACAACCTTGGATGATCAGAACCTTGGATTAT